TTTTAAGCTCTTATTACAACGACGACAACAACAACAACAACAATAATAATAATAATAATCAATACATAATAAATAATAATAATAATCAATAAATAATAATAACAATAATAATTGAAATAATAATACTAATAATAATAATCAATAAATAATAATAATAATAATAATAATAATAATAATGGGTTAGATACATGTAAGTGTTTTTGTGGGGTTTAAATCCTCTGTCCTATTTTTCATGTTCTATTTGTGTTCCTCTATCTCTCTCAATGAAAATTTTAAGGTGCAGGCGGCTGTACCTTGCTTGGTACAACCAAAAAATACAAAAAGAACATGTAACTATTTTGTAAAGAGCATACAGTTATTTTGTAAAGAACATAAGTTGTTTTGTAACGAACATTCAATTTTATATATTTTTTTCATATCTAAAGAACATCTGCAATATTAATAAAGAACATGATAATATTACCTAATAAACTTTATCTATATATAACCACCCTAATTTGAAGACAAAATTTAATAAACATTTCACATTAAGCAATGATCTTTATGTTGCAAATAAAGTACATTATACTGACTGATCAATGAACATAAACATATGTTCTTTTTATGTATTTTTTTTGGTGCAAATATGTTCTTTTCACTCTAGGTATATGTTCATTACATTTTAATAGTATGTTATTTTTACTTTAGGTATATGCTCATTACATTTTAATAGTATGTTCTTTTCACTATAACTATATGTTCATTACTTTTATATATCATGTTCTTTCCTACAAAACGACTGTACGTTGCACCGTACAGGCGCCTGTAGGAACCAGCTATTGATATTCATATGGGTCTAACTTTTTTTTTCTCTATCTCTCTCCTACCTACATGGGTCCAACTTTTTTTTTTCTCTCTATCTCTCTTCTCTTAAAAAAATTTATAGGATACTGTGAAAATAAAAGTGTAACAGCTAAAAAAAATCGAGGAAGTATTACATTGTTAGGATTTATAAGGAGAAAGAATATATAAGTGGGGTTAGAAAGGAAGAGAAACATTAAAATATTCATGTAACTGGGTTAGTGAGAGATGGAAATATTTTTTTATTTTTTTTGGAGTTTAGAGAGCCACAATGTGGTGAGAATCGATCTTAAGATCACCTAAAATCGTGAGGGAGTTCTATATACTTGAGTTATCCCTCTCTCTCAGAAATATTAAGATAGTAGTTGGTCTTTATATAAATAGAAAGTGTTACAATTATTATGAAATGGATGTAAAAGAAAAATGTATTGATTATTACAAATCGAAGAGAGTAGTTTTGTCGGCTTATAGATATTTAAAAGTTACTCAAACTTACTTAAACTAATGTGCAAATGATATCGTGAATAAAACATGACGCGATTTAATATCTTCATTTTTTTTAAAATACATCATTTTGACTTTTGCACACTATATTTGACTTAATTTTTCTGCTATTACTCCCTCCGTTTTTAAATGCTTGCTCCACTTCTCTTAAACATGTATGTCAATGCTAATCTTTGATCAATAATATATTTAATTATTGATAAGTATAAATTATAACAATTGAACATTAATAATCTATTCATTGAGACAGTCTCAATAAGTATTCACGCTAGACATATTTTTCTTATGTATAAATTACAAATATTAGTCAAAGTAAGACAAATAAATAGTACAAAAAGTAAAAATGGAACAAGTTTTTAAACACGAAAGAAGTATAAAACAAATAAATGTTATTATATTATACTCACCATTAGATTCGTTATAATGTATGTCTTTTTTCATAATATAATTTTGTTATAATTTTTTCAGTAGTTAATGAAAAATATTAATGGTCAACGTTACGTTACGCAAATATACTGGTCAAACTGGTGTATTTAAAAAAAACGCAAGGATTAGCTTCAAGCTAACAATCGAATTCTTCAATACTATCTCTATATAATCTTTAGCTAAATTCTTAATGATAGTAAAACTCAAAACTTCTATAGACTATAAATTAAGAGATTAACAAATAAAATAATATTCGTAAAACTAATGTATTTATAAATAAAAAATAAAATTAAAAATAAAATAAAAAAAAATACATATTATAATGATACATCATAAGTCTTCACTTCTTCGTTGTAATAGTATACAATGATACATCATAGGTCTTATCTCGGGTGTGCTCCGGTAACTTAAGTCTTTGGATTCGCAAAGGTTTATTGGTCAATTAAGTATCTGCACAGTCAATGCAAATTAGCTAATTTGAAGGATTATCCGGAAATAATTGCTCCGATGTTAAAGTTAGCAATTTGATGAGAAGAGATAAGAGAGAGAGATTGTTCCTTGAATTATGCTTGGGTATTTATAGGTAAACAACCAAGCTGATTTCATCTACCGACATAGATGGTGGGTTGACTTCGTAGGCAACATGTGTCTACGTGGTCGAAGTTGCTCTCTACGTGGCTATGATTAAGGCTTTTATGAAACGTACGCCAATATGCGTAATAATAGAGAACTAACAACGTCATGTATTTTTGTAAACAAATCTTAACGGTGTCGGCACTATCCCGTACAGACCTTGCACGATAATTCACGGGGTAAATCAAAATAATAGTGAGAGTTTAAACCCCTAAGCTAGAACCCATGTTATAAAATAGTTTAAAGATATTTTAACAAACAACATAAATCAAAGGATAAAAAAAAAGACTAATAACTTTATTCTTATTTAATAAAGGATCTTGCTAACAAACGGGGCATTGGATAAGCATTCAAAATATTACCTAAAATGATATTAATTTGGGAAAACATGACAAAATCATGTGTCGATTGGTGTAATCAATGTTCATTTTAATTTTATCTTTTTACTTTTAACTTACTTATCCAATGCCTCTAGGACGTTCGTTAGGACGTTAGTTTTTGTCTAATTAAAAAAGGAATATATTCTTTGTAAAAAAATAAATAAAAGGAATGATATTCTTTATTGAAAGCAAAATTGAAATTGCGATGATTTCGTTTGACGATGTTGATTAGTTTGTTGTCTGTACCCCGCAATCATTGCTGGCCGTCTAACGGCGCCGTTACCATTCACTCTTTTTATGATATCATTTGACGGCCTCCTAAACTTCCTTTCTTCTCGTAAAATATACGGTTGATACTTAAATTATACGGCCCCATAAAAAACAAATTGTGCATTAATTATAAATGTAAGCGATGTTAGATGGACGAAATTATTTACTACTTCCGTTACACGTTATGTGCAATGATTTGATATAAAATAGAGAGAGAAAAATGTCTAATCATTAACCTGTAACGGAGGTAGTACATAATTATACTCGTGTTCATCAAAAGAAACAGTGCAAGCATCTTTCCTTAAAAAAAAATAAACCTCCTTGCTCCGTCTAAGTACATCATCAAGTGGTACATTTAAAATAAAAACGAAGGGAGTAAGGTCTTGTTTTGTTTAATTCAACTTATTTTTTTAATTTATTTTTTAAAAAATAAGTTCAGATCAAATTAGATCAGAAAAATAAATTCAAATCGGATTATCGTTTTACAAACAATTTTTTATCGCTAAATATCTTTAATTTCTTAATGAAAAAAGTTATAAACTTACATATTAATAAAATACACATTATTACAAATCTAATAAGATTCTACTTGATATATTTTTCCCTTACAGATTATCATACACTTAAGGTTAAAGTTTGGTCAAATCAGACAATAAAAAAAAATCAGATCAGATAAGATCATACTAGACAAGATTAAATAAACAAAAATAAAGTAAACTAAATAAGCCCTAAGGGCTTGTTCTGATTTACTAAATTGAACCGAGTTGAGCCGAATTGTTTATGAGATAAATAAATGAAGAATTAAACTGAAATTAAAGTTGAAGAGAACAAGTCCTAATTTTTTTTAAAAAAACGGTAATATTAGCATGGTGAGAAAAGTAAAACATGGATGCATGTACATTACTAGTATGATATTAATGTCATGTAAAGTGATGGTAAGATGTGCATGCATGGATGTACTCCGTAATAAAGAAGATGAGTTGATAGTACTCAAATATGTGGAGTGTTTGACTGGCTATTGACTGACTTACGCATAAAAATGTCAGATGTAGTCACCATCACCATGCGTCATTTTATGCCTTCTAACTTTTTAATTTCCATTTTAATTTTATAAATTCATAACTCAAATTTATTTTATTTTTTAAAAATTTCAAAACAAGTACTGGTAATTAACCTTTTACTCTTTGGAAGGCCAGATAGACCGCAGGAGCTATTCTAGCTAGTTCAGGCATTAAGCCATTAACCTTTACTCTGTATTTTTATACTCCGTACTCAGTATAGATTATTCATCTACTTACAATATTACCTTCCTACAACTTTATGCATTACTAATTGATGCATTTAAAAGTGTACTGTAAAATTTATTCAATTCAATTTTCTACTACTCCATATCACCGAGTACCTACCTAACTTAAATTGATGACCAAATTGGTAATAATAATAATAATTGTTTTTTTTTATTTTTTTATAAAAAAAGTCTCCTGCGACAAATTGGTAAAAAAATTTATCTTAGACGACATTTATACTAAAAAAATCTATTTTTTTTCTAGTTTTTTAAACTCTTCAAAAATGCTAATTTAAGTGTTTTTTTTACTCCGTAGTTTTTAAAATTTAAATTATTATGTCATCTTCTTTTTATTTTACCAAATTTTAAATTACATAATTTTATTTCCAATTCCTTTAAAAAAATGTTATTAATGGGTAGGAAAATTTAGTGAAAATTACTATTTTAATATATTTTTTTCCTTCAAAATTTTATTTCCTTGTAAAGAGTTGAAAATATAGATTTTTTTTAATGAAAAAAACACGAAAACAATAGCAATCGCAAGTAGTTTGTTCGAAAATTTGTATTTTTTGGCTTAATTGTCACCTGATATTATTTTTTTTTTTACCAATTTTTTTTAGCCAATCTTACTGAGTTTTACTGGAGTAACGACGTATTTTCAATTTTTTTTTTTTTTTTTTACCATGGGAAATTGGGCATAAAGACGGTAAATCTTCTGTCTGTAGGAAAAATATAACAAAATAATTGCATGAATATTCACTTATTGGTTAATGAGAACAATTATTAGATAAAGGTAAACGATAAAAGAAAGGATTAAATTAACATCATTTAACTAACTAGAGGTAAAAGAAAATTCTAACACCTCTGTGTTGCAAATACACAAATATTTACAATGACCGCCCGATCGCCACCCTTCTTTTCTTTTTTCTCCATTTTCTTATGCAATTCAACTATGAAAGTTATACTAAGGATATTCTGACTCACTTGAGTTTTGACGAGCATCGAGATTAAACTCCTCACCTGAATCCTCAGTTATCCTCCATCTGTTTGACAGAAATGAAATATGTATTAACAGACAGGTTAACACTTAACAGCTAAATTAACAAACCTCCAAATCTCCAATCAATCACTGCTTTTTTTTTTTTTTTTTTTTTTTTTTGTACCTTTCAAGAACCACCTTCCCTTCTTTGTACTTTTGGCTTTTCTCACGAGCTAACATCTAAGGAAACAAACAGAAACAGAAACATAATGTTAATCATCAACCGAACTCGAATAGTAACCGTTTACATGTCTGCCAATACAAATATACAATCATCCGTTCGTATGGTAACCAGGGGTAACTTGTTCTCCTAGTAGCTATACATATTTTATATCATTATCGGTTCAAAAACATAATGCTTATTTTAATGCAATTGATTGATATAGCAAGAGCATATTTTTGTTCAAACGGCCTTCAAACAGACTCCATTTATAATATAGCTCAAGTCCCATTGTGGGGTACGGCTAGGTTGTCCTTCATATACATAATCTATAAGGCTCTAATGAAATGTTTTCTTCAATATCTCCAAAAGAATTAATGATATGATAGAATTTAGGGGAAATTTCTCACTCGAAATCACAAAAACATGTTACACATACAACTTATGGATTCAGGAATCTTACATATTTCCAACCAAGAAGTTGACCACAGCCACAACAAAATACATCTGCAACAGTATGCATTCCAGACATCATAAGCCTGTCTTCTTCAGGTCCAACTGTCACATTTACTCTGTAAAACAATGCCAAAAAGAAGAAGCCAAAATGAACACAAATATTAGTCTTGCATGTGTAATTCAAGTTCCTTGTGCGAGTAGAGGAAAAGAACAAATGAAACAAAATTAGATGCCTCTTATCCTTAAAGAGACCATTTTGTGTGATGTCAACCAAGCAGCAAACATCTGATATCAGAATGTGTTTGCGCGGAAGTCATTAACAGGTGCCTATTATACTCTTTGAATTTGCTCCTCTCGTATTTTAGGAACATCCTCTCATGTTTCTTATACATTCATATCTCGTTATATCTGCATATGCATACATTGACAAAATAAGCGAGCAGTCAACGCACTAGGCTAACTTAAGCTTCAGGTGTGGTTGCAAGCATCTTTTTCTAATTCACACAAGATAAGTAGCTAGTGCTGAACTGCTGATCAGAAATTATAAGCAAAAGTCGCTATGTAACCATACAAGACCCTAAAATTATAAAAAGCACAAAATAGATCGTCACCTTCAAGAGTATAAATGTTATACAGTGCAAAGTTATAGGCTTGTAGCACGTGTCTAAACTCAACTTTAAAGCAAACTATAGGGTACATACTACATAACCACGAGTACTATATCAATCTAAATACCCAATGCAGGCATGTGAATTTCATCTATTTACTCAGTTGGGATAGAAGTTTCATAAATAGTATGTCTACCAAAGTATTAACTAGGTTGGTTAGTCGATTTTCAAGGATCTCAGCATGTCTAATTTAAACTTTTAAAGTGTTCAAGAGACTTCAAGTACCCTGAGTTGGATCCTTAACACTTGGACATGGCAACTTCAAGTAGTCAAGTACAAATGCATAATCACCCTAATTCTTGGAATGAGGGGAAGGATTAAGGGGTAACTAAAACTAATAAAATGAAAAAATAAGGGAGTGATGGATGAGTGAAGGAGATAATGATAGTCAGGACTTGGTGAAAGAGAGAAGTCGAAGGGCGGAAATGTTGAGTACTTTATGAGCGGGTAGAGGGAACCTTTATCCCCATTATGGGACAGTTCACCTCCCTAAAGGCCTAAAATTTATCATAGTTACTCTCTCCCATACAAGATTGTCCTGCCCTTCGACTTTATGGCCCTACCAAAACCTTTCTGTGATATACTAATGTGCAGTGAAAAAAGAACTAACAAGTACGATCAAATTGAGCGAATGACAGGCAACGCTTCAAGTGTTCAACAGCAGACAGACCAACTAAAGGATAAGAGTGCATAGCTAAGATGAAAGTTCAAATGGCAAATCCAAATCAAACACTTTAAACATTCTGCAAAAAATATTGGATCACGATCTAACTATTATTTAATAGATTCTCCCAAAGATTCAACCACTGTCTTTGCAGGTTAGAAACCCAATTAACATAAGATACTTTTCTTACATACATCAATAGAGCATGGAATTTTGAGACCAACTTTGAAAAGAATAGACGGTTTTAAATATCATTGTCATAAAAGGCATTGTGTATTGCAGTATATTCTTCATATTCTAATTTTCTTAGGTGTAAAATGATGTTATATACAGATGAGGGAACATCGAGTCCTCTGTTCTAGTTCATCTCTTATGCTAAATTAGTTGCTCCTTCAACACACAAAGATATCAAACCAAAATACTAAAAGAAAAAAGAATCCATTAATGTTGATCTTTTCTACAATAACAAGGCTTTAGTTTGGATTTTCAATTCATTTATTTTCTGTTTCAATTATTAGTTTTGCATGTGCTACTCTCCAATACCCTGATTCAGACCCTCAAATACAGCTAATTTTTGTAACTATAGAATTAGGAGGAAGAAAGCACATATGAAGTCACTTAATAGAGAATGGAAATTTTTTAAGAACTTACGCATTTTCAAAAAGATAAGCTCTCCCTTGGCGACAACTGAATGACTGACAAAACAAGGCAAGAATGTGAATCAGTAGAAAATATTAGAATCAACCTTCTCCAATTATATTTTATTTTTAAAAAGAATTACAAAGTAGGAGGAACAATCTCAACTCCCAGAAGAGTGACGATGATCACAAAATATCAATCAAAGCCTTAGTAACATGACGATGAATCACAAGATATTTATGTAAAAAATACGAGCTGAGCAAAAAAATTGAAATCACCACGATTGGGTAATATAAGCCAGAAGCAAAGACCCTCTATAATAGGTTATATGACTATAAGTAGAAATAGCATTTCAGTTTGCAAAGTCTGCACTTGTGAGTGGCTAATGCCTTTGAATCTCAGCTACACACTAGTAAATAGACAACAGCTCCGATATGTGATGCCACGCAGTCATCTATAAAATGCAAGCCATGAGTGTTGATGAATCGATATGATATTGAAGAAACCCCAAACCCCCCCCCCCCAAACAAATTTGGAGATACATTTTGATCTTGATGGTGTTAGTAATATGAATAAAGAGATAGTTTAATTGGAATAATTGATTTTATCCGAGTTCTAGTCCAGAAACAAGAGATTGAGTTACAATTCTGCAAGATGGGAGTGCAACTCACAAAAACATTCACTAATGCAATTCCAACTTAGAAGATAACTCAAAGATAACATACAAAATCAAGAGTATTAATATCTTAGAATGCTCTTGGAAAAAATTTACTCCATAGTGAGACCTTACAAAATCTAGCCAGAGACCATCCTATGCAAGAAGATAGCTCTAAAGAATTGTTATTACAAATTGGTGAAGCTAAGGTAATTGACATCACGCTCTATTATGTGCTGTAGCTGTATGATGTAATGTATGTAAACAAAAGCACTATCCAATTCTAAGTCAGCAATTCACAAATATTCTCCCTTTATTCTTCTTCTTACCATCACGATTAATCTTTTTCGATCAACATTACCCCCATCAAAATATTAAAGCCCACTATAACTTACACCTATATATCCAACAGGATCTTCTCTGGTGGCAGCTACTCAATGCAGGAAGTTTAAATTGTCAAATTGTCCATTTAAATTGGGTAACCTTGAATGACTGCAATTATCCTCACATACTTTACCTTAATCATGGTCCTGAAACAATTAAGAGTTGTATATCCTACATCATTATGTCCCCTAGTAACTCAAACAGATTGACAGCAACTAGGCATTCACCGGATGATCACATTCTTAATCACTTGCATATCTCAGCCTCAATCCATGGCGCCGTCAATAAGAAGTATTGAAAAAAATGTATTACACATACAGCTATCTTTCATGATGAACAAGTTAAAAGCATACCACAACAACAACAAAGCCTTAGTCCCAAAATGATTTGAGGTCGGCTCTCATGAATTGTATGAACAAGTTCAAGCATACCTAAAATTAAAATTACAATCACAGAATAATATGTAATCAAAACATTTTCTCCATTAAAGACAAAAGGTCCCCTTACAGCAAAACAAGCACCCACTTCATTAATTAATAAATTCAGTCCACTAAATTGTTGAGAATGATCAAGTGATTTCTGATCCACTCAAATTCTCAAAATCCAGAGAATATCCCCCTTTTTACACAATAACAAATCATTCATTGAATCATTGTTGCAAATTGCAAAGGTTGGGCTCTAATTATATCATATAATCCACCAACAAATTGTTTGATTATAAAATTCGCGGTATTGCAACATGAGAACATCAATTATTATTACAGATATGATATAATTCATTGCATGCAACAACATCATCTCAAATTGAAGCTCATTTCACACCATATATCACCAGATGAACTAATATTTTCTCCATTTATATAAACACCCGATTAATTACCCCACCATGATCACCAAAAAAAATCTAAAATTTACAGAAAAATACAACAAATTAAAAGGAACCCAGTTGAGAATCAATCAAATACTTCAAAACTAAAGCAACAAACACAAAATAAAGAACAAGTCCATAAGAAATTAATTTGATAAATTGAAATTTAAAGAGGGTAAATAAAAAATTTACCCGAGAAAGAACATCTTCAGCAAGTGCTAAAGGGGTATTACAGCATCTACAGCGATAAGCTTTGCCATCCAACTCCACCAGAAAGACTCTACCCATCCCCTTCTCTTGCTTTCTCTCTCTTCACTCTTTCTCTCTCTATCTCTATGACTGACTATCTCACCAGCTCAAACATTTATTCAATTTTTTTTTTTTGTCTAAATGTTAGAAATCGGAATCAGTTTCAACTTTCAAGGATCCGGTAGTAGATAGACAATACCCCAAACAAAGTCAAGAATATGTTGGTAACATCAAGTTGACCTAGATTCTTACACAAATATGGCTAGTCATATGGTGTGTCACTTTATATAATCACATACTGTCTTAATATAACGCAATTAATTAAGTAATAAGGGTCCAATAATAAATAAATGGGATTACCTTAACGTATATAGGTTACTTAAATTGGAAAAAAAAACGGTTATTCTATTAAATATGTGAAATTATTTCTTCATTTTTTAAAACAAAAAAATAGGGTTACTCGAATGAATAAATGGGATTATTTATTTCTTCAAGCTGTTATATCAAGCAAGGATTTTGACCCCTCCGAGTTAATCGTCCAGGCTGATAATGTTTCAAAGGGATGGCGCAAGACGGTGAAGATCACTACGCCAAGCGGAGAGAAGTTGGAAATAATCGCTGGCGAAGGTCCTATGTTTGATGAATCTGAGTCATCTGGGTCCGAGTCCGAGTCCGAGTTTGAGTCTGAGTCTAAGTCTGTAGACGAGTCTGTAGGATCTGAGGCCGACCCTCTTTCTGCTATAGAGTCCAATCCTGAGTCTCTTGTTGAGTCTTCTCTTCTTATCCCAAATAATTCCTCCATCCCTTTGAAACATTATCATCCTGGACGATTAGCTCGGAGGGGTCAAAATCCTTGCTTGATATAACAAATGGGGTTATTTACTTGATTTTACTCGTATAATAAATTTGGGTTACTTTTGTGGACAATATAGGTTTACTCTTATGAAAAAATGAGATTACTCCTATATTTAAACGAAGATTACTCCTATAAATCAATGTGGTCACATTGTATGACTAGCCACATTCAAGACCTTTCCGATCAACATAGGCCCGACCCGACTTTTGGAAGGTTATGAACATAATAAATGGGCTCAAAGTTGGGTCAGTCAACACAACAGAAAAGGGGTTAAAAAAAAAGTTTTGGTCAAAATTCTGAAGGTGAGAGAGTAAGGAATATCTTAAGTAGTTTCAACTTCAGCCACAGGTTGGGAAGTTCTTTATTTCCGAAGTAGAAAATCTTGAAACTTCAACTTCAGCTCTTTGGTGTTTTAGCTTATGTAATTCAAGTTGAAGTTCCAAAGTTTTTTTTTTTTTTTTGAGTGAAGTTCCAAAGTTGAAAATCTTGAAACTTGACACAGGTATGCAGATGGGCTTACTTCTTTGATGTTTGGGCCTCTAGGTTGGGCCAAATAATTTAGCCTTTGTACCATATTTTTTTTTTATTAAACCTTATTCGGTCTCCAAAGTCAGTCAACACAAAAATGTATAGCAGAGAAAAAACATACGAAAGAACGTTGGTCTTTGGATCAAGTTTGGCAGAGAATTTCCATGTGTCCACTTTTATGTACCTTCTTGTAACTTGTCATTTGTTTGTGATCTTATTAATCACTTTCACAATATTCAAATATATTCTTGTAGAGAATACTGACAAAATATATACAAGTAGATTTTAAAGTTGAAGGATATACTCCTTGTTCTAACTCCATCAATAATTCACCCAAATGTATCAAATCTTTTAAAACAATCATATTTTGAAGAAGATTTGCTCGTTTGAATCATTAGAAAGAACACAAAACACACAAACTTTGAGCATTTGTCTACCTAATAATACGCCCACATCTTATGGAACTATATTTAGTCTTTACTCTTTATCCGGGTGCTTATGATTATAAATCGTTTTCATTTTCAATATTTTTTATGATTATTGTAAAGCTGCCTCAAATAGGGTATTTTGGTTAAACATAATATAGTATTGTGGATTAAAAAGATAAATTATACATTATCTCAATTTCCTAGACGGCCTTAATTCATGATCCTTAGTCTAATTCGTCCTGTTAATCTGTTTTTCTGTAAATCCTATTTTTTTTTAAAAAAAATTAAATCCATGTTCAAGGTCTTAATTAAAATTTATGATTGTAAACCCATTTTCATAAATATAATAAGGATTTTGGGTCTTGCAAGTTGCAATACTCTTAATTAAAAATAATTTATAATCTCTTTTGGCAAATGGTGGAATTGAGAATATGTATGAATTTGTATATAAAATTGTTGTACACATATTGACAACAAAACATAAAAATGGTGGAATTGAAAATACATGGAGAATTTCAATTTTTTTTCAAAACATGAAAATTAAATTACCAATCACCTTTAATAATTTGAATTTTCCATATTGTAAGTTTCTTCACAGAAATCAAACTAGATATAAAATTTCCATACACGAAATACGGTGTAGAAATTTCTATTACCTCTATTTCATATTAATTGCAACTTTAAAATATTTTATAATTCACCTATAATACCTCAAAAAAACTTTGAAAGCGGAAATAGTTTTAAATTTTCGTGTAAACCAAATGAGGACTAATTAGTGCAAAAAAACTGCCGACTTGATACTTGGGTCTCTACTCTCTACCCGTTCGTACGAGTATTTTTTAATCACGATTAATTTATTTTTTTTTTAAAAAAAAAAAACTATAATTACAAAATCCACAAGTAAAAGGGCCCACAAAGATCACTTGCAACCAAATAGTAGCTCGAGCTAGTTGAAAGACACACGTAGAAAACACTTTACATGGTGGTCGTCTAATTAAGGGTAGGAAAATTAAGCCTAAAAAAGCAAACTAATTAGGAAAATTAATTAGCAAATGAAAACTTAAAGTAAAAAAAAAAAGGGTTAAGAAGAGACAAAGTTGATAAAATGTGTCACCTCAAAAGGCAACAAATTCCCACTAAAAAAGGGCGTAACAAAGAGTGTGGATGGAAAACAAGCAGCCGCCCCACACTCTTTTTCATTTTTATTTTAATTTTGTTGGCGGTTGCTTTTATTTTCTCTCTCAAAAAAATAATGAATAATGAAAATAGTCCTATCTCTTTCTTTTCTCATATACGTGGCGAATCACGAGAGCGTGGGGCCCAAATCTCCATCCTCTAATTTTGGTGGGGGCCCACAGTGAGTAAAAATACAGCCCACGCAACGCAGTGACGCCGACTTGCCGGCGTAACTGTCTGTCTTTTTCTATACTCACACGTCACCTTCCTTTGCGCCGTACACTCCTATTCTTCATCAAATTTTTTTATACGCGTCCCTCTGTACCGTGGGTTAGGCCCTGTTTTTTAGAGCAGCACTGCTCCGCTCTGTTAAAATCTGCTATGTTTCGTTCTATCCTGCTCTACCGCTTTGCAGTATGTGGAAATCTAATCCTGCTCTATTATGTTCTGCTTTGTCCTGCTCAGAAGCTCAAAAGAACAGGGCCTAGTTTTTCATTTTTATTTGATGATTAAATGTAAAACAATTATTAAAATAAGAACAAAATATTGATGAGTATATTATATATGTGTATAAATCTGTTAGAATTTATAGTTATTGATAATTAAAGATATTATTGATCAAAGATTAACATCAGTATATGCATTTAAGAAAAATTTAACAAGTATTTAAAAACGGAGATTATACATTTAATTCAAAGAATTTTTATTTTTCATTATCCGTGGTGTATGACAAATTAAAATGAACAAAGTAATTAAAATGGAGAGGGTGATATACAAACGAATGAATGGTCCAAGTGAAGGAATGTTGCAATAGCCAAATACGTTGAATATTTTGTAGACGATGAAATGACTGAATATTTATGATGAGAAAGTTATCATGTGTATGCTATCATACATAAAGGTCATGATAATATATTAATATGACATGCATGCATTCATGCATAAATAAATAATTGATGTACAGTGGATAGAAATAGGAAATAGGCGTATTCAAAGAATTAATTACGTGTGCAAATATGCACGGTTTGTTTTGTATGATGATGGAGATGAAGAAAAAGATATGCATGGGTCTACAATAGATCATAAAAGTGGCCTAAATTTGGTCAATTTTTAGTATTTATATTCGCCCTAAAGTACAACACCAACTATATATGTATGTATGGCGTAACTACTTGACAAATTAAATAATGCAAGGGTAAAAATTTTAAATGAACTATTTGAATTTTTATTATTTCCTAGCATATTTTACTTTTTTTGAAATATATTTTATTTTATTTTAAATCAAATACTAGTATAAAGACAAACATTATGTTTACGTATGGTAAATATAATTTTGATAAATGAAGGTTGTGAAGTTTGAGTACGTTGGAAATTTTAGTAAAAGCAATGCGGTTGGAGCTAAATCTTGCAGTATTTTTTTTCCCTCAAAAAGAAAAAATAAAAAATAAAAAATCTTACACTATTTTTTATCCCTTTATATGTGTCAAATTAAATATCTTTAAGAAAAAATCAATTGAACGACTATTTTACTATACTATGTATGTCAAACTTTGTAATTCGTAACCTACTTTTATTACCAAAATTGATCAAGTCAAGCCCTCTAATAGTCTAATTAGGACGTGGATTAACGGTGGAAAGCATGACTTGATAGTCCAAGTCTCCAAAAGTATGTTATCTTTGGTTGATTGAAATAACATTTTAGCAAAAATGAGGTAAGATAAAGAAAATTAAATGTAGTTTAATAGAAAAATGTGACTAAATTCAGCAAAAAGGGTTAAGCTGGACATATCAAAATATGTCAGTAAAAAATTAAGCAAAATTAGTTAGATTTAACAAACAAACAAATAAAAAAATAGTCAAAATATACTCAATTTGTCCTCAAAATATACGAAGTGTATAACTTAAAGAAGTTAAGTTAAAGAGTACAAAGTTCTAACTCCTAAGTGTAGTAATCTCTTGTACACTATGATTATTTTTTATAATAATTTGATGAATCTCACTAAAAAAATTGAAAAGTGTATAATTACTCACAACCCACAAATGTAAGAACAAAGTGGAGTTGATAATTGTAAGATTAATCACAAATGAAAATGTATAGAGAGGTCCCAACGAACAATAATTGAAGAGAAAGTGTATATAATTTAAAAATAAGTTGGAGGGATTTTGGTGAGTTCCTACATATAATAACCAATATAATTACCCCA